CCCGCAAAGCTCTCTTTCCTCCATGAAGAAAGAATATGGACCTTCCCAGACAAAGAGAAACTCCGGAATTTCATTGCGACTAAACCCCCACTCCAAAAAATACTACAAGGAATCCTAAAGCCAGAACCTCAGAGGGACGAATAACAACGAAAGAAGACCAAAAAAAAAAAAAAAGTTATTAAAAGAATAAATAAATAAAATCAAAGGAAAGACAAACATAATGGCAAATACAGATGCTAACATATCAATATTAACTCTAAATGTAAATGGACTAAACTCTTCAATAAAAAGACACAGAGTTGCAGCCTGGATTAAGAAACAAAACCCAACCTTTTGCTGTCTCCAGGAAACACATTTAGCTACAAAAGATAAAAATAGGCTCAAAGTCAAAGGATGGAAAACAATCCTACAAGCAAATGGGCCAAAAAAGAAAGCAGGAACAGCTATACTTATGTCAGATAAAACAGACTTCAAACTCAAAAAAATAAAAAGAGACCCCAATGGTCACTACATTATGATTAAGGGGACAATACTTCAAGAAGAAATAACACTCATTAACATATACTCACCAAACGAAAGAGCACCAAAATATATCAGACAACTGTTGTCCTCTCTGAAAACAGACATCAGAGAAAACACATATGTAGTGGGAGACTTCAACACACCACTATCAACAATGGATAGATCAACAAGACAAAAAATAAGTAAAGAAACTAAAGCTCTAAATAAGGACCTAGAGCATTTGGGCTTAACAGACATCTATAGAACACTAAACCCAAAAAAAACGGAGTACACATTTTTCTCAAGCGCACACGGATCATTCTCCAGGATCGATCACATACTGGGGCACAAGACAAACATCAACAGATACACCAAGATTGAAATCATACCAACCATCTTTTCTGACCACGAAGGCATCAAACTAGAAATAAATAATAAAAAGAAGGCAAGGTACTATCCTACCTCATGGAGATTAAAAGCCACACTACTGGAAGACCACTGGACTAACGAGGAGATCAAAGAAGAAATTAAAAAATTCTTTGAATTGAATGACAAGGAGGACACCAATATCCTAAATGTATGGGATGCAGCAAAAGCAGTAATAAGAGGAAAATATATAGCAATAGAAGCTCACATCAAAAAACAAGAAAGAACTCAAAGAAACAACCTAATCTCAAAGCTCAAAGATCTAGAAAAAGAACAACAAAAAAACCCCAGAACCAGTAGAAGAAAAGAAATAATAAAACCAAAGCAGAAATAAATGAAATTGAAACTAAAAAAACAATCCAAAAGATCAATGAAACCAAGAGCTGGTTCTTTGAAAAAATAAATAAAATAGACAAACCCCTAGCCAGGCTCACAAAGGAAAAAAGGGAGAAAGCACAAATACACAGAATCATAAATGAAAGAGGAGAAATCACAACGGACACAGCAGAAATCAAAAGAATAATCAGTAACTACTATGAACAGTTATATGGAAACAAGTTCAACAATCTAGAGGAGATGGACAAATTCCTACAACTCTACAATCACCCAAAGCTAGATAAAGAAGAAATAGAACACCTAAACAGACCAATTACAAGCAGCGAAATTGAAATGGTAATCAAAAACCTCCCCAAAAACAAAAGCCCAGGACCTGATGGATTTACAAATGAATTCTACCAAACATTCAGAGACGAATTAGTGCCTATCCTTCACAAACTCTTCCAAAAAATTGAGAAGGAAGGGACAATACCAAACACGTTCTATGAAGCCAATATTACACTAATACCAAAACCGAATAAGGACAACACAAAAAAGGAAAACTATAGGCCAATCTCCCTAATGAACACTGATGCAAAAATCCTCAATAAAATTTTAGCTATCAGAATCCAACAATGTATCCATAAGATAATTCACCACGACCAAGTTGGATTCATTCCAGGGGCACAAGGATGGTTTAACATCCGAAAATCAATCAACGTTATCCAACACATCAACAAAAAGAAATATAAAAACCATATGATAATATCAATAGATGCTGAGAAAGCTTTCGACAAAGTGCAACACCCATTCATGATAAAAGCCCTTGAAATTCTTGGGATACAAGGAACATACCTCAACATCATAAAGGCCATCTATGACAAGCCAACAGCCAGTATCATTCTCAATGGTGAAAAGCTGAAAGCAATTCCATTAAGATCTGGAACAAGACAAGGATGTCCACTCTCACCACTGCTTTTCAATATAATACTGGAAGTCCTAGCCAGAGCAATAAGACAAGAGAAAGACATCCAAGGAATCCAAATAGGAAAAGAAGAAGTCAAACTATCACTATTTGCAGATGATATGATAATATACATAGAGAACCCCAAAATCTCCACAGAAAAACTAATTCAACTCATCAATCAATTCAGTAAAGTGGCAGGATACAAAATCAACACGCAAAAGTCAGTAGCCTTCCTATACACAAACAATAAATCTGAAGAAGAAGAAATCAAAAAAACCACCCCTTTTATTATCGAAACAAAAAAAATCAAATATTTGGGAATAAATCTAACAAAAGAGGTAAAGGACCTATACAAAGAAAACTATAAAACACTGTTAAAAGAAATAGAAGAAGACACAAAGAAATGGAAAGACATCCCCTGCTCATGGATTGGAAGAATAAACATTATTAAAATGGCCATCCTACCAAAAGCAATATACAGATTCAATGCTATTCCAATCAAAATCTCAATGGCATTCTTCAAAGAAATAGAACAATTATTGATGAAATTCATATGGAATCACCAAAAACCCCGAATAGCCAAAGCTCTACTGAAAAAAAAAGAAGGAAATGGAGGCATTACACTCCCAGACTTCAAACTATACTACAAAGCCATAATCATCAAAACTGCATGGTATTGGAACAAGAACAGACATACAGACCAATGGAATCGAATAGAAAATCCAGAAATAAACCCACAGATTTATGGTCAACTAATCTTTGACAAAGGAGCAAAGACTATGCATTGGAGCAAAGAAAGTTTGTTCAATAAATGGTGCTGGGAAAACTGGGTCGCTACATGCAAAAGAATGAAGCTTGACCACTACCTCACACCATACACAAAAATCAACTCAAAATGGATTAAAGAACTAGACATAAGACCTGAAACCATAAAATACATAGAAGGAAATATAGGCGAAACACTACGGGATTTGCACATCAAAGACATCTTTACAGACACATCACCCAAAGCAGTGATAGTGAAGAGAAAGATAAACAGCTGGGACTACATCAAATTAAAGAGCTTCTGCACAGCAAAAGAGACAATAACAAAAACAAAGAGAAACCCCACCAACTGGGAGAACATTTTTGCACCCAACACTAATGATAAAGGACTGATCACAAAAATCTGCAAAGAGCTGATGAGACTCAGCAACAACAAAGAAAATAATCCAGTCAAAAAATGGGCAGAAGAGCTAAAAAGAAACTTCTCTGAAGAGGAAATGCAAATGGCCAACAGACATATGAAAAAATGTTCAACATCACTTGTCATCAGGGAAATGCAAATCAAAACTACCATGAGATACCATCTCACACCAGTGAGAATGGCACATATTAAAAAAACTAGCAACAACAAATGTTGGCGAGGATGTGGAGAAAAAGGAACTCTTGTGCACTGTTGGTGGGAGTGCAAACTGGTCCAACCACTATGGAGAGCTGTGTGGAGATTTCTGGACCTACTAAACATAGAGCTTCCATATGATCCAGCAATTCCACTCCTAGGTATTTACCCAAAGGACACAGAAACATCAATTCCAAAGAGCACCTGCACTCCTATGTTTATAGCAGCACTGTTTACAATAGCTAAGCTTTGGAAACAACCCAAATGCCCAAAAATAGATGACTGGATCAAGAAGATGTGGTACATATATACCATGGAATATTACTCAGCATTCAAAAAAGATAAACACATGCAATTTGCAGCAACATGGATGGCACTGGAAGGGATCATGCTCAGCGAAATAAGCCAAAAAGAAAAAGAAAAATACCGGATGGTCTCACTCATAGCAGGAATCTAGAAAACTTAAATAAGGGACCAGGAAAATGAATATAAGAAAGTGAAAATCAAAATCAACAAAAAACTATGAACCAGAGACACTTTTTGGGGGGTGGGGGGCGGGAGGGGAAGGATTGGGGTCAGAATGGGGCGTTTGCAATTGTATGGGGGAATATAAAAATAAAATTTAATATTTAAAAAAAAAAAAAAAGAAAATGAAATCTTTGTTGAATTATTTCTTCCCTGTCCCCTACCTGTGCTTCCTGGAACCACCTCTCAAATCAACTAACAGTACTCAAATCTCTGTGCCCAATGATCAAACTGCAGGAATCCAGAGCTAAATGGAATTGACGAATGGTTTTTAGAGGGCCAAAAATACACAGAAGCTATATTAGAAGGTCACATACAGCCAAAATGAACTGAGGTTTCTTATTTAGGGTGAGCAAATGGCAGCCCATAACTATGAATCCCTTTCCTAAGGACATACCTGAAATTCACCAGAAGTGATTCTTTGTTTAGTTGCATTCCCTCCCACCCCACTGCCCCAACACACACACACACACACACACACACACACACACACTTGTATTTCATGCAAATAATGGATATATTTCAATGATGAAAATCAGAGTTGACAGCTTTTCTAGAATGGGACAAATGCTTAGCTGGAAAAAAAATCTAGAAATGCCCTTCCATTTTATTATATTAATTATTTTATAGCAGTAAATTACTAATTAAGCTATCACTCTTTCAACAGAAAATACAGCAGCTGCAGCCAAGAAATGACAGACAACATCCCACCCGTGGTTGTATCTAGTCTAAGCCAAAATATTTTAGAAAAGTGTTTCAAATAAAAATGGGGTGGGGGGGAAACAAACTTCTAGAGTCAAGGATAGAGAAATCAGATCTGATTATCAGATGACATTGGTGATCTTAATTGATCTTTCACATTTGAGAGAAAACTCTAGCTCTCACCTGTTAGAAGTAAAATTGTAATAACCACTTTCCTCTAGGACTTCTTCAATCACAGTCTAGAGTTGGAGGGAAAAAAACAGGTTAGTATTGAGTTAAAAGCAACAAAATAAAATTGTTCTGAGACACTGTAAAAACCTCACCTGCATCTGTTCATATGTGATTCCCTCCTCCAAATCAAAACTGGTGGGTAGGCCTGAAATAGATTAATTACGGAAAGGTTGACATTTGGCTCACATACTCCTAGTTAGATTTTAGTGTCAATTATGATTCAATTGCAGTGAAAACAGGTCAGTTTCTTAATGATGAAGATGAGTACTTACAAGCACATCCAAATTGAATATTTAAACTCTCTGTTTCTCTTTCTTTAATAACTGGCTGCTTTGGGGGTTGCAATCACTAAATATTGCAGAGTTTAGGAGCACTGCATATGGCCAATTAAGTTGGGGGGGCTGGTAAATACTAGGGAAGAGTGGTTGGAACAAATAGTGAGTTTTGTGATGGAAGAAACTCTCCCTAATCCACAAGGCAAAGGAAGTAGATACATGCTAGAAAGAAATTAAATTCTTAGAGGGAGGTAGAGAGAGACTGTGCAAAAGATGTGGTCCTTTGCTAGGGCTGCCCGGAGGGAAATAAAATACATTTAATGATGTGCTTCTTTTGATGTTTGGCCTGAGTACCATATACCAGCACCTTTTCCTGCCCCTGTGCCACCCAAGCAGCGCTGACCAGCTTCCACTCAAATCAGAGCTGCTACTACAGATGTCTGGCCTGCTGACTGGCCCACCTGCCCTGGGGGGCAAGCTTTTATAAGCACATGACTTTAGACAACAATGTATCCTGATTTTAAGGCTTTCTCAGGGGCTCTTTGAAAAGAAATTCTCCCTACACAGGTTAGCTTTATCCCAGGAGTCCAAGATTTATGGAAAGTTGGAGAATTCACATACGAAATGATTTTCCTGAATTGGGAATAGACAGGAGCACAGCAGAAGTGAGTGCTTTTCTAGACCGAGGAGATGGCCCAAGTGTTCAGGAAGGCCCCAAAACTTCTCTCCATTGTAGTTTACAGGGGTTCAAAGATTATTTAGGAATTCTGAAACCTCAGAGTTTCAGGAAGTCTGAAACCTCTTCTTAAATTCCAGATATGATGAGGAGTTACATTACAGGGAGCCCCGACGAATTGCTATATGTACGCTGATCATCACCAGAACCCTATGACATAGGGACCCTATTTTAAGGGCAAGGAAACTGGGGTTTACAGAAGTCAAATAATTTGCCAAAGATCAGTTACTAAAGGATTGAGCTGAGATTTGACTTTAACAGTCCAGGTTCTAGATTCTTCCTTAATCATTATGCTTTATTGTATTCTAGGTAAGATGTATGCAAAAAAGAAAAAATGAAATGAAGTGGGTCTTCAGGCAACTTTAAATTTTTCCATGTTAAATGTGCATATTTTTATTTTAGCTTTTTATCTCCCTAGTTGCTTTGGGGCATTAGATTTCCCACCAGTTAGATAAGCAAGAAGAAATGAAGGACAATACAATTCGCCCACATAGATTCTACTGTTTGTTTATAATAAACGATTGAGGACGCTGCCACAACTGGTAAAGTACATCTTGGGGAATTTCTAGATTCCTATCATATATCACTTCACACTATTGCCATAGATATTCAAAATTATCTCTGTATTTCTTTTTAATGAAAGAGAACTGTTTAAGGATTACTGTTGATCCCAGCGGTCTATTTCTCGGTGGAAGCAGATTTCCTGCATCGGTGAGAGTTACCTGATGGGTCACTTAGGGACAGGCTGTTTCCACCTGCTGAGTGATGTAGTGAATGGTAATCTGCTGTGAAAAAGTTGGGCTCGATCGGTTCTGGAGATCCTTGAGACAACTGGAAAAAAAAGGAAGACCGCATCTTAGTTTAGACCCAGAAGCAAATGACAGGAGACCTCTGTCTCTGCACAGAAAATTTACTGCTCGGTGGTTTTCAGTCCTTTGTAAATAGATGAAGGTGTATCTTCTTCCTTCCTAAAGAACTTATAGATTGGAAGCAGGCAGAATATAGTGAAAGCAAGTTAGACAGTTCCCTGGCCACATGAAAAAAAGTAAAAGTATACTTTATAGCTTTATGAGAGCAAAATAAAAATGGATGGGAAAATAATGGATGGTCCTGAAACATCAAAATGTTATTTTTATCAGGCGTAGGAGGAATAAACTCCAATTACTCAACAGAACAATATGTTTAGCCCAAATCACAATCCTTTCTCATGCCTCTCCTTTGAACAATACTTTCTTCTCTGACCAAAGCAAATAAGTTTCTTAATACATTTTGCTCAATCACTATTAATTAATGGCAATCTCCAAACTTCAATTCCCAACATAACAGAACCAACTGACAGAATTTGTTAAAGTTCCAATTGTTTAATCCTCTTCTATAAAATTGAATTTTTTTAAATGGAGTTTTAGGCTATCCACATTTTTAACTTCCTTTCACCCGTAATTTACATGAGTACTTGGACTGGCCAAGTGTTAGGGCCTGTGTTAATATAACATACCTTTAATAAATCAGTTCATATTAATAAACCAAAAACAAATGGCACAGTTTGGATTCAAACTCTGTCCATGAATAAAAATACAACATTGCTCAATCACTTGAAAAAACTTTGGCAATAAATTAAACATAATATTCCTACCCTATAACCCAGCAATCTCACTAGTAGGTATAAACATGAAATAAATAGGTATTACTGGCATCAATGCTTTTCTCATTGGCAATTTCAACATTGAGAGTACAGTGTAGCGAATTTCATGAACCATCACTCAGCTTAAACATGGCCAATGTTGCTTTAATTCTATCTCCTCCACTTCCCTTTCTACCTCATCTTACTCCCAGAATTGGGAAACAAATCCTGTGCATTAAATCATGTCATCCATAATATGTTAGCATGACTCTTTAAAAAATACCTGAATTTCTATTTTAAGCAAACTGAATTTATAATTATCACACCTGAAATGATTAATTCCTTCATAGAGCCAAATATAAGATCAATATTTTTCTCATTGTCTCATAAACATATAATTTATACTAAATTTATACTATTTTTTATTTGTATTTGTTTTTATTTTTTATTTATTTTTAAATTTTATTTTTATATTCCCCATACAATCGCAACCCATTTATTTTGACCCCAATCCCACCTTTCCCTGCCTCCCCCCCATAGTGTGTCTCTGGTTCATAGTTGTTTGTTGATTTTGATTTTTTCTTTCTTATAGTTATTCTTTTTCCTGGTCCCTTATTTAGGTTTTCTAGATTCCTGCTATGAGTGAGACCATCCGGTATTTTTCTTTTTCTTTCTGGCTTATTCCGCTGAGCATGATCCCTTCCAGCGCCATCCATGTTGCTGCAAATTGCATGTGTTTATCTTTTTTGAATGCTGAGTAATATTCCATGGTGTATATGTACCACATCTTCTTGATCCAGTCATCTATTATTGGGCCTTTGGGTTGTCTCCAAAGCTTAGCTATTGTAAACAGTGCTGCTATAAACATAGGGGTAGACTTTTTTTTTTTTATTAGAGTAAGTTACGGGGGGAAATTCCATCTATTGCAAATGGTTAGTATTTTTCTTCTCCTCTTTTCCTCTCTTGTTCTCCTCACTCCCCTTCCCTCCTCTCCTCGCAGTTTATTTATTGACCCAAACTGGTGATTTTTCCTGTAGAATTTCCTGATGTGGATTTTGCCAATAGCCACATGGTATCATTTAACATGTCCTCCTGTCCCCTGTAATGACTACAGATGGGTAGCTAGACCTAGAGGAGGGATCTAAAGTTCTTATAAAGGGGCAGGTAGTAAGTATTTCTGGATTTAAGAACCATGTGGTCTCTGTGGCAGCCACTCATTTTTGCCTGTCCCATCAAGAAGCCATAGCTAATTATAAACGAATGCATATGACCATGTTCCAACAAAACTTTATTTACAATAACAGGCAGCAGACCAGATTGGCCCGAGGGCAATAGTTTGCTCACTGCTAATCTAAATTTTCCATCAGTTGCAATTTCAGGTTTTTAGCAAGTATCCTTCAAAGACAGTGCTCTGCATTTTATCAGGGGCATATAATGTCTGGCTGTTCCCCTTTTTCTATATTAGCAGTCACTGGTGATCTTCTCTAGATGTGTTATTTCATGAGTGGTTCCCAAACAGTAATTTACTTTTTATTCCTTTGGCACTTATTAGCCGAAGTACTTTTATAATGAGAAACCTCCCCCTCATCAATTTAGTTACCCTCAGGTGGAATTCACAAGGGAAAGGGAAAATGTTTGACTCTTCCCTTTTGCAAACAATTTTCAAAATTGTTACTTAGCATCCTCGGAAGACAACCAGCAAGGGTAATTATTCAACAGATAGGCAAGGGGAGTCCTTTTGACTCTGCCTCAGTGGTTCTTGATGGCATCCTTGCTATGTGATCTGTTATGTCAAGGTTATTCCTGTCAAATCTCATTCAGTTCCTGCTCTGGGCTGCAGTCAGCTGTATCTCCAAGGAGTCTGCACTTCTCAAGGGAGCTGATGGCCGCTTGCTTAGTTCCCAGATCATTTCAGTGAAATATCAGGAAAAAACGTGTATGTTTAAAAGGTAAGATGTATCACAAATGCATACTCATTCATATTCACTGTTCCAATTCAAATCTGAATCAATGTGGCCTATCTTGTTTCTTTTTCTCCTTTTTGAAATCATGCTGAAAGTCCTCATTCCCAAAGGCACCCAGATAGTTATTGAGATTCATTCCCCCCCCACACACACACACACAATTCTAGCCAAGGTTGAGCAGATTGGATGGAAAACCACCTTAGGTGAGTTATCCATACAGAGCATAGCTGTTCAGCAGCGGGCTTATGAATTTTGTAACTCATCTATGCATCCTGCTGAGTCTTTGGTCACAAACAGGCACAATCATCTCTCAGTGACTTCTTCAACCTGGAGGCGCATAGTCCCTGGATTTCAGGAGACGTACCAGAGGGGAAAGTGGAATCAAAAGCATTCCATGTGCTATCAACACTACTGCTTCCGCAGGCCTGGTGTCGGGCGACTGCGTCGGTCAAATCTAATTGGCCCTTCCTCCGCAATTGTACAGTAGAGGAGAAATCCATTTCTGAACAAAAAATTGTCACTAGCAAAAGATTACACCAGAAAAGTCAAAAAACAGAGGTCACAAACTTCTCACTTAGGTTTAGATATGGACAGGGGGTTTCTTTCTACATTCACATAGAAATATATGACATTATTTATATACCTGAAGGACAGAACCAGTATAAAACAGGTTATTCAGACTATGTATATTCAGCAATCACACATGCAGCATCTACCATGTTCCAGGCACTGTACAAAGGCCTGGGGAATTAAAGATGAATAAGACAGTATTACCTTTGGGGGAAAACAGATGTGAACAGATTAAAAGTTATTTCAAACGCAACAATATGAGTGAAGCATCATGACTGAAGCATCTTGAAAGGGGAGGTTAATTCTGGACAAGGAAACTGAAGGAAGGTATCTATGGAGAAGCTGGCTTCTCACATTAGTGGTAAAGGATAGGAAATAGGTTAATATCCCAGGTTGGAGATTGCTTTAGCACATGGGTGCCGAGGCCTGCTTCCCCAGTCAGGAGGCAAACATGGTGATGTGACCCCACCGACTTGTAATAGCAGAAAAGTGTTCTTCACAGGAGAATTTCAGAGACATAATGCAGGGGAGGAGGAGGGAGAGGGATCAGAGGGAGGGAGGGAGGAGCACAGGGGACTGAGGTGATGGTACATTGGTGAAGGAAACTCTATGGGGACTACACCTGAGGGGGTGGGGGGAAGCAAATATTGTTTAAAAATGAACAATGATGTAAAAAAATAAATAATTAAAAAAAAGAAAGATAAAAAGTGCCCTTATAAAGAGGCTTAGGAAAGCTCTTCCCTCCTATACCATGTGGAGGCACAACGAGAAGCAGCAGTCTGTAGCCTGGAAGATGCTCAGCAAACCCAGCCCTGCAGATCCTGATCGAGGACTTTCCGGCTTCCATAACTGTGCGCAATAAATTTCTACTGTGCATTAGGTACCCAGTTTATGTTATTTTTATAATAGCTGTCTGAAAAGACCAAAACAAACAATGAAAGTGTCTTTTGATAGAGGACAGAGCTTAAAATACAAAGTAAGGAGCTATAAAACATAACTCTTGTGATGTGTTGTTAGCCAAAGAAGAATTGATGTATGTAGAATGCCTTACCTTTTTAATTTCAGATTTCAGATTACAAGGATTACTCTGCTGACTGAAGAGGGACTTCTTGAATCTCTCTATAACCCTTCTTTTTAAATTGTGGTGCAAAGCTGGAGGAAGCTGCATAAAATGAGATAACAATTATTACAAACCAACTGTCAACACTGCACAGATGAGTCCCAGGAAGCAGTGACTAAGGGTCAGGCTAAGAAGATTCACCCAATAGGACTAAGTAAGAATTTAAACTTCATTCCATATAGCATGATGAGATGGTATAGTTTTTCATTCTACAATCCAGAAGGAATGCATACACTGCTCTCTTTCAAAAGGCTGCTTCCATGTATCTTCTTGTTCTTTCATTTTATTGATTTTTTTTCATAAAACAACTATGTGAAACAAAGTTAATTGCACAAACTGAGTTTTGTAAAGAACAGACTTGACAAGGAAGGATGCCCAATCAGATGCCCAGGACAATGTGAAATGCCCCAACCAGGGCCTTGGTTCTGAAGACCCCAATGCTTTGGACCAAGAAGCACATGTCTGTGTTAGTACGTGTTCAGAGGCCTGCCTGTGGGTGCTCCTGACTATTCAGTTGGAGAGAGAGCAGATTGTAGGGGCCAATCTTATCCAGAAGAAGGTGAAATTGGATGAGTACATATCAGGGCCACAACAGGAGGCTTTATATTTATAGTAAGTAATAGGAAGATTCCATGGTGGGAGAAATGTAGAAAATAAGCTGATTATATGAAAATGGGACTTTCAAAATATTTCTATTTTATTTTGTAGTGCTCTGCAGGTTGGATTTCTATAAGGAAATTAGAGGTCCTGAAAGCACAGAGGGGTGAAGTTAAAATTTTGCAGAAAACAGAAAAGAAATAGGGCAGAATGATAGAATGTCTCAGAGTAGAAATAATGCTTCATTTGTTAAAATATGGAGAGGACTTGACAGAAGAGGGGAAAGAAAAACAGAAAGAAAAAAAGTGTGGTTAAATGGAAAGAAAAATGTTGATGGAAGAACTCTTACAATTAAAAAAAAGAAGAAGAATTTAATTCAGTACTCAGCTCTGAAGGAGAAATGTGGAAGAGGCCATTGTTAACCCACCCCCACTTCATTTTTCTGTGCCCTCTTAGGGTTTGTGTTTGTTGCCCTGTGGCTAGTTTTGACCAATGCAAATGGTATGCATCACCCCAAGGATGAAGCAACTCAAAAGCATTGTGCTTCCTCCAACCCTCTCCTCCCCTTGGGCAAAGAACTTGGGAGGCTTCCATCATGGGGTCCAGGGCAGCACAGCCACCCAACCTGTCCAGTTGCCACTGAGAAATAAACCTCTATTATGCCAAGTCGAGAGATTTCAGGATGTGTCTGTGAGAGCTGTGTGACTTACCATATCCTGCCGGGTAGCTACAAGGAACCTTTGTATACCAGGGGACTATAAAAAAGGTAATTGTAGAGCAATGAATAGGGCCTATGGGGGCTCACAAGAGCACATTTTATAGCCAGAGAAACACTGTTCATCATTCCAAACACTGCAGAATATAGGACTCATGATGAAGCACTAAAATGCTATAAAAAGAAAACACACTGCAACTAGAATATGTATTTAGATGCATCTTTCATCCTAGCCAATCTTTGAAGTTTGCTTGACTCAAAGCAGGTTTAATTAGAGCAGAAGTGAGGCTATTCTGGAGGTTCTGGAGCCCTGCCGTACACTTTGAAAGGTTCTGCAGTTTAACAGCACGGACCTCCACTGCTCTATTTTTATGTCCCTATTACAACTTTCTTTTACCTTGATCTAGATGTGATTACTCCTCTGAGCACCAGCAAATAGTCTAATTATTGTCATCCCTTCATGTGGAATGAAAAGGGGAAATCAAGAAATGTGTATAGACAGAGAGAGGAAAAAAGCATTTCTCAGCATTAAGGAGCAAATAGTTGGATGGCAGATGAGAAGGGAAATGAATGTCATTGATCCACGCGTGCATGAGAATGAGCAAAAGCGGAATGAATTTAACTCAGCACAGGAACCAGCAATAAAGGGGAGGCGCATGGGATGCTTTCCTAGCCAGGGGCTGGGCTGAGTGGAGACAGTACCTGCAGCTACCTTTTGGGATTTGATCATTTCCTGATGCCCAAGAGAGTGCCACTTCCTTAGATCCAACACCAGAGAGCAGTGTTGGCCCAGGGCCTTCTATTCATCCCAGTGTGATTTCAGCCAACAAAGGGAAAGCAAATCTTTTCTATATATCATGTTGTCTACCATCACTGACTTTAGACGGTGTAATGCCCTGGGGGTCCACAGGTTCTTGACCCCAGGACTGACAGTCATCTCTATCAGATTACTCATTCAGACACTCTTAAAATCCTTGCTATTTATTCAACTTGATAAGCCCGGAGTTAACTTAGACTTGCCTTTACTGCCCCCTATAAGTTAACATTCTGTCAACTTAAGATTTATACTCACGTCAGTACTGGGAAGTTCTGGTATCTTACTGAAATAATTATCACTACGGACAGCACTCCATCTTTAAAGTTTTCATGGAAGAATTAAAAGTTTTGCACAGAATGATGATTCATGCATCATTTAATTGCAGATGATGTAAGCATCATAATATATCTAAGGACTGTAATATTAAGGACAGAACATTGCTACCCAGCAATGTGATTACTATGATTATGCATTAGGTCACTTTTTTTCCCCAACAACACACTTATAAAATGGGTTCTATTTTATAGGTTAGGAAATCAGAGCTTAAAGACATTATGTAACATGCAAGGGTACTTTCTGAGGTAATGAACATAGTAACAATCATCCTCAAGCAAACACACTAGCATTACTGTGGCTCAGCACTTCACAGTCTGTAAACATGTCACACACTTTATTTCCTTTGGCACAATAGTCCCACAAGCGACCAAATTTCACCGATGAAGAAACTGATTCTATTAAGGATGATGACTCCCTCAACATCCTACATCTACAAGCTTAATGATTGTTTTTACTATACCAAAGTAACAAAAGAAAGAAATGCAATCTGACCTGTAGGTTTCATACTGGATTTTCTCACATTTGCATGCTGTCAGAGTTTTTTTTAAAGAATTACATTCCCTTGTCTCTCTAAGAAAATTTGGGCCAACCATCCCTAGCACATGGTCTCCCACTTGCTAGTGATCCTAACAATACTTTTCTATAAAAACAAGTTATTGAGACACATCACTGCTTCAGAAGTTTTCCCTAAATGCTAAAGTAAAATGTTAAATAAAAATCAAGAAAATAAATACACAAAATATAAAACTCCTTTTAGAATTTGCAAACCCTGAAAGTACAAGTCTTTCTTGAGAAGCACAGCTTTACCCTGATAATTTAATCTGTCACCCTCAAAATTAGGAGTGAGGACCAGATAAGAGGGTATGGATGTTTCCAATTTCATATATCACTGCTGCTGGTGGGGGGGCAGGGAAGAAACCTGTATTTTACAGGTGACAGTCCATAGTGTAACTTTCACCTGGGATCAGCACATTGGTATTCCCAGCCACATCTTTTTTTTAAGATTTATTTATTTATACAAGAATGGGGGTACAGGCCAGAGGCACAGGAGGGTGAGAGGATTCACCAGAGACAGCTTGGGGAGCAGAACAGGCAGACAGACAGAAAACACTGCTGAGGGGAACAGCAGGCGAGACAGGAGAGGTCTGCCGTGCCATGTGGGTATCTCCCTGGACGGTCAGGAATTGAACTTGCACTGCAGAGGCTGCAGACAGCTTCACAGCACTGTACTCAACCCACTGCACCACCGGGGCGGCCCCCCAGCCACATATATTGTTCCATTGGCCACAACCGTGGTTGTTGGGATGCGGTCTGAAGGGGATCCAAACACAATGCCTGTCTGCTCTCCAGGAGATGGGTGTTTACTTTTGAAAAGTTGCTCTATGCTGGTTGGCAAAGAATTTATTTAACAATCAAATGCTAAATGTAGTAAAATCCAAAGCTTAAGGTCTTAACCAAAGTACTGACACATGGAGAATTGTGCTAAAAGGTAACATATGTACTTGGTCACCTTATGTGCCCAAAGATTGATTTGGTTTCCAGCCATGGCATGAACCACAGATTTCATTCTCAGCTTACTGGTCCTAAGATTACCGTCTCAGCATGTATGAAAACAGATATCAAATCAGTGAAGGCAGGGGAAGGATTTTAACATCCTGCCTTTGAAAATAGTTGCTTCCAGATGACGGCCACAGATCTGTCTCCATGGAAACTGGAGAGGAAGGGCCAGCACCGGCCACAAGCAAGCAGCTTCCCAGGAAGGTCATCTGTGTTTGTCAGGAGGGCTGTGCCCTGCAATTCGGGGCGCCTGCCCTAGCACAGGTCTGCAGCAGTCTGACGAGTAAATAAATATGTGAACAAGATGAATTCCTTTTTCTTTTCAGCAATGTTGCTTTGTAATTAGCAGAGGGCGGGAAAGATCTAGGTCTTTAACCTGTAGCAACCACATTTGTTTGTTGTTTAGTGTTTATGTATAAACATCTACCTCTTCCTCTCTTTGAAAGCATTGACTTTGACCAGTTCCATAATTTCAATTTCCCCTGGTGGTGGGAGGGGGGATTATTTACTATGGGTAATGTCATAAACTTTAAGGTATTCTGGAAATACATTTTTAAAATCACAGTGATATCTGAACTTGTAGTAAGGAATGCCACCTTGCCAAAACATATGAAGTCATTTGTTATGCTGGTGGTGTGAGAGCATAGTAATAAGATATTTGTAATAGTGTCAATCTTGCTTGAAAATACCTTGAAATCCAATAAGGAAATGGAATACATCCATTAACAAGTTTTTTGTTATATAAAAATTAGCAAGACAGGCATAAGGAAATGGCATTTAAAATCCAAAGGATATTTTCTCTCAATTATTAAACACTGAGGGAACCAATAACACTATTTGCATAAATGACTAAATTTAAGAATACATCATCCAATTTCTGTATCGGTATTTTGAATTTAAATGCATTTTTTTAAAAAAGAGTTTTATTTATTTATTTATACAAGCACTGGGTATAGTCAGAAGCGTGGAAGGGTGAGAAAATTCACCAGAGCCAGAGCAGGGAACAGAACAAGCAGACTGACGAAATACACTGCTGAGGGGAGCAGCGGGCACAACAGGAGAGGTCTGTCGTGCCATGTTGGACCCTCGCCAGCAGCCAGGGATTGAACTGGTGCTGCAGAGGCTGTGGGCATCTTCACAGCCCAGTACTCAAATGCTGCGCCACCAAGGGAGGCCCTAAATGCATTTTTAAATACAATATCTTTACATACTAGAGATAGCAGATTTCCTTTGACTTTATCAACAAAGTTCACTCTCCTCCCATATTTTTTTGGCCCCTTCACCCTCTTTCATTTAATTGGGCAGAAAATTCTATGTGAAGGCCTAAAAGAAAGACTGAAAATAGAAAATAAAGAAAAGGGTATAGATTTTAGCCTCTTGACTCTCAAAAGGCTAATCCTCAGGGTGATGGAAGAGAAGTAACAGGTTTGAGGGGAAAAACTTGACAGAGAAGAGCCAGGCTACTTCAAGGCTAGAATAAGTTAATGGGAGAAGTGAGGATTCAGAAGCGGCTAGATCCCAAAGAAGGGAGCCCCTTGTGTAGCCCCTCAGGTTAAGTGAAACAGTCATCAAAGTATAATAATTCCCCTCATTGCTCTGTGAAGACACTGAGCAGTTCTGCCCCACCAACCCCTCCCCACCCCACCCCAACCTCACCACCCCCACCCCATGCCAGCTGGCTGCCTGCTCAATTCTACCAGTAGAGGGCACTGAAGACACTGGAGGAGGACGGTCTTTCTGCATCATTGAGGCTTCTTCCTAGCTTAGTTCCGCAGCCCTGAGGGGTCAGAGGCCAGAGGGACCACTTGGGGTGCTCGCCCCCACCCAGATTCAGTGGCACCGATCCTACAGGTGGCTTTCCAGTGAGTTCTGTGGAGCACGCTTCCCCATGCACAGCCTCCCCTAATCCCAGCATTCCACCTTCCCTGTCCTGACTTCCAGCAAGCCCAGAGCCTGGCTCCTCATCATGGGTGGATTGCCCCATGCTCCATAGTGAGGCCTCCCTGCAAGGTTCTCCCACCAGCACAAGATGGTTTCTTGGACCTTTGCAGTTTTGCAGCGAGGTCTAGAGCTCAGTCAGGGTGGTGTGTCCTCTTCTATTCTGTTCCTTTCTCAGATGCTCTGCCTCAGCCTTATGAGTAGTGGCTTTCTAACCTGCTCTTACTACATTCCTTAGCTTCTCTTCCCCTCCTTAGTCATTAATGCCCTGTTATTGTCAATAGTTCTTTCTATTAAATCTTCCCTGTTGAAATTACTATGTGGTTTCTGTGTCCTGACCAGGCCTCACTGACACAGATTTGTTACCAGATGGGATTTAGGAACTGGTTTGATTGTGCCTTGGAACTGAGCCCTGCATCGAGTTTTCTGCCAACAAGACACAGGCTACTAGGGACCCCTGGCATGCAGGGGCATCACAACGAAGCAGGTATATCACACTGGTGAAGAGTCTGTTGAAGCCAGTGCCTGAGCCTGAGAGGCCTGCACTGAACTCTCAGGCAGCAAAAGACTGCTAGGGCGATGGTGTGGGGCAGACTCCTCAGAGTGTGCTGGCCCTGGAGCACTGACAGAAAGGAAGTGACAAGCTGGGCTCTTTAACTCTCAGCTCGAGTCATAGTCTGAGACCCAGAAGGATTCCATGACAGCCCTCAAAGAATCTGTTATTTCTTGATGCACAGCATTGAGATGGCTGATAATCAAACACAAATTTAATTGGGCAGGCTGCTAAATCACCATGTCAGTTGAATGCACTCTGCCAAGTTTCTCATGTGGAAATTAGAAAAAGGAATAAATCCTAAAACTTGGAATGGGGACATGTTGTTGGATCCAGATAAAAAACTGACAATCTTGAAACTCAAGTCACTCTGATCTGTCATTGTAAGTGGATATAGCTTGTCACTCTGTGTCTGAGAAAACAAGCCTTTCTTTGCTTAAAAACTCTATACTAAACTCATCTGGGACAGACAGCTTCAAAAGGGAGGCTCATTCTTTATAAGACCCACAACAGTTAGAACCAAGTCTACAGCCAGGGTCATATTTCAGTAAGATATGGGCAAACTGGTGCTCACTAAGCCCCAGAAGGAAACAGCTTACATGCCCAGAGAACGGCAAGACGTGGCCATAACATTTTAGCGGTAATCCAGGGAGTGTGTGCAGGAGTGGACGGGTGTCAGGTCATGGGGGATTGGGCTGACGGCATGCTACACACTTACTACAGATTCCAGATTTAATATGTTAGTTCGTGCAGCTGCAGGTAGCAGCTTAATTGATTGGTTGAGTACACCTGACTCAGTGGTGGCCTGCCTTTATGGAGAGTAAAATGCTACATCTTCCCTGGCAAGTGGAGGAGGGAAAAGCTTGGGAAGACAAGAATGATGGGCTGGACTTATCATATGTGACCCACACATTCAATCCCCAGTTATGCTCAGCAAGAACACTCAGGAACAACTCCTTTCACCAAAGCATTGAGCAAGACTTTGGAGACAGGGGCACCCACATCCTTAACAGCGTCTATGGTTGCTCTCCACAGTGGGCCAGGCAGGGCACTGGAAGTACATGATTTTAATGGGGATCATGTATTGCCAGGAGTACCAAAGCCAACTGGCAGTGTCAAGTTGAGGGCACTTGACATACAGGATCACAGGGTTGTACTGCTAATTAGAATGCTGTCACCAACAGCATCTCTGGAGGTGGCTAACTGATTAGGAATACTCTGATAGGAAATAGGCAGTCAACCCACCAGCGTATTCCTTGATCTACGTTACAGAGAAGAACATCTAGGCAAAAACCCAACTTGAGTTGCAACAGCCATTCCCTTTTTCCAGCCCTATGTCAATTCAAAGACTCAAAGTACCTGGACAACTCTAATTTAAAGTTAGTGGGAGGAAGGCCCCCATGACATTGCTACCAGCCCACATTACACATGTTCTTCCAAGCCTTTCCCAATGACACCTGCTAAATGAATTTCTTTTTTTAGTAACAATATAGGCATTTGGCAGATGAACTTTGATGCTGCTTATCATTAGACAGATTCCTGCAAATAATGGCTATTTTTTTAACAGGTTGCTTCCCCAGTGCCTAAGAATTGCTATGGTTTAGAAACAGGAAGTTTTAACAGTCCTGGACTTCATGTGCTGTTTGTTTTCATTTCTCTGAGAGGTCCTGGTTTTAACACACTATCCTCAGAGTTATTGAATGAACTACTCTTTCTTTCCTAGAGTGAAGCTGCTTCAGAAGCCCAGCTTGGTCTTCCCTTCCACCTCTACCCTTCGGGGCCATTTGTACCAGGCACTATCAGTGAACAAACAGGTAAGGAGTCATAAGGGAAACTTCCCAGTTCTGCTGCCAAGCAAAGTGTTCCCAAGTAGATGTACTGGAGAGGGTAAGAACAAGCATTCACTGTAATTGAAAGTTCCATAAAGCAGTTTTTCGGCAATGTTAGCAGCAAACTTATATAAAATGGAGAGAGAATAAAAAACTAGCACACCGACCTGTGTGATGTAGATGATTTTGTGCAGCTGAATTAGAATCTGCTGAATAGGATCACTGATCTGACGTACTTTCCGCTGGGACACAGCAATCCCTGCAGATGCTGTGGGTGACAAATTCTGCAGTTAGTTAAAACCCTTGTTTTCTCTTTCAAAAGAGAATTAATGGGAATGAGGTAAAATTCTGGAAAAAAATTAAAGCGAAGAGCCTCATCTTACTGATGAGACAATATGAAGAGACCCCGTAACACTGCAATAATTTATGGTATGAGCTGTACAGTTCCTTTTCCTGTACTTCTCAGACATCTAAGTAACATACTAGCTAGCATTACATCTGAAAATGCTTAGATATTTTTCCTGTATTTTACCAGGAGGCAGCGGTGCTTTGGATACTGTGGTCATTAGAAGCTGGGCTTCAGATAAGTGTAGTTAGGAGGCTATCATGTTTTTAAACTTTAAATTCATTATCCCTTCAATAGCATATTTAAAACTAATTTTATTAAAATTCCTAAATGCAAAATAAAGTACTCTAATGAACTAGGCACTTTAATAGAAAAAAAAATTAGCCAGAAATAAGTAACATTCGAATTCTTGATTATTACAAATTACAATTTCATCTGGATTTCTCTCCAGGTCTGAATAGGACACACTTATAATTTATCCCATATTCTCATCAGAGTCACACCACTTTTATAATTTCAGGTTAGGTTGGTGTCAAAGTGCCTATGAGCTGTGTTCCCAGCTTTTAGACATCATAACCACAAGTAGTCCAGTCTGAATGTTGAGGAACATGAAACTATTTTAAGGACTGGCCTTGAACCCCTAGATCAGCTACAAACCACCTTTGACTCCCCTCACCTTCAGATCCACATCAGAGGAAACAGAAGAGAGATTTCAGACAGGGGGATGGATATTGTCTTCTCCCTACCCCCCTCCATTCTTTCCTTTTCACCCCTTAATTTTAGCATGCTTTCTTCAATACTTTTTTCCAATTTCCTTTTTTTAAAGAAAAGTTCCAAAGTCCCTCTTTTCTTCCAACCATACATCTTGAGCTAATATGAAATGAAAATGTAACACAACTGTTTATTTAGCAACAGTTAAGTTTTTTTTAATGATTCCTATACAAGTGCTTTCTGAGAGAGCTTGCATATTTTACAATATAAAATTTTGCTTTGAAAGGTTTTAAAGAAAAAATTTAATGTGATCATTTAAAAGGTCATTTTTTAATATAAGCATGTGAAAATTTATATTTAGGACAGAAAACGCACACACACAAAAATAAAACATTTCAAGAAATACATGAATTATCGATATATTTCCATAATAGCTGAGAAATTGGCACAAGAAATCAACTAGTTCTAGATCATCTGCATTTGATACCTTGTTTAAATATTTGAAATTTAAAGGATCTATCTCCCCTAGGCACAGTGTCTAACTCCTTTAAAGCAACAATTGCTAAACCATTAAGACGAGGTTTAATAAGGTACCCTCGGAGGGGGAACAGCAAGGTAAATCAGGAAAAAAATTATGCAGCTCTAAAGCAGAAAGCAGCATACTGGAGCAGTCTACTGGAGCGGTCTGCTGCAGCTACTGATGGCCAAGTGTACAACCATCACATTTTCTATGTGGTGCTCTTTTTGCAGAGCTAATTCTTATATGTCTAGGCCCATACCAAAAACCAGAGACCATATAATGTGGCCAAGTTGATGGAGCCACAGAGACATTAACTTTGGATTTTCTGAAACCGGAGAGCTTGGGGTTTGATCACTTTATGTTGACTACTTTATGTTTTTGCTACACCGACTTCGCATTCATAGGTAACGAGTCAAAATCTCACAGCATGGCAGAGAGTTCTTAGATTTGTGATGACATTTTGAGTGGGAAATCACACGCGTTCACTCTACCTTGCCACAAGAATGTGCTCATCTGTGGCCCTAAATACAAAAACAGAGACAGTTAGCTAGGAGGCCTGTCTTCTGAACTACCCAACCAAGCAATGTAACTTGAAAATTATTTTTCTTATGACCCTTTGATTACTACTCTCAATCCCAGTAAATCCTGAGTTCTGAAAATAGTTTTGATTGCTTACTCAATATAATAAATTTAAAGATGTTTAATTACATATGCCCCTTGCAAAACAAGCAAACACACATAAAAATAACCTAAGGCTCCCTGCAACCACCACCACCATAGCCGCCTCTTCAGAAGTCCCCACCAACATCAGTAGGAGTCTGTTGCCTCCCAGTTCCTTTTCTGTCCATTTACATACACATGGGTGTATCTCCAGAACAGAGAGCTATCTCCATTACAAAACAGTATCTTTGGAGCATGGTTGAATCCTGAAATCAGTTTAATGGGTCATGACAAGCATTTTTGAAAAATGGAATGGAATAGGGTGGAATGAAATGGAACGGGAGAGAAAATGTTCTGAGTGCATTGCACGTAGCAAAGGATCCACTTAGTCAAGATATAAAATGTGTTTCTTACTGAGGTTCATTTCCAAAAGTTTGAAAGCTGCTATTGTATGAAATCAAAAGTAGTGTTCAGGACCTCCTCTGGGCTCCTTCCCAGACATGAAATACTATTTCCTTTCTGATTGCTACTATTAACATGAAGCTTGGCATTTGAACATGTAACAGATTAAATATTTTTTTGAAATTATATACATGTAATACAGAAAACATTAGGTCTTTGTAGCTGCGCACTGCACCACAGTCAGCTTTATTTTCTCACAGCGCTTGCCCATCCCCGGTGCTTGGAGTCTTGATTTATGCCCTATCTAGCCTATTGAAACTACAATTCACAGTGCAAACCCTGAAGCTGATAATTAATATAAGTTAAACAAAAAGATGGATTATACTATGTTTTCTCCATTGACCAAGATACAATATGTATTATCAACCTACTATTTCTCTGAATCAATAATTAGTCATATAAAAAACTTTCGAGTAGAACACTAATACATCCCAAATAATGCATGGAACCTCTACCGAGGAAAGTCAATTAAGAATTGGCAAGGTTGTAGTGTATTTCAGGGCAGGCAGGTGGCCCAAGGAGAAGAAGCAAGAGGTCTTTTTCCTCTTTCTCATTACTATTGACTCAGTCATAATACTCAAATTGCTGTCTGACAATTCAAAGGGAAATCATAAGCATTTTTAAATGGGGGGGTGCGGTAAAGCAAGTAAAGGGGGGGTCAATTGGTGGTGGATAGAAACTAGACTTTCAGTAGGATTCATAAGGGAAGGAAGATAAGGGCTGGGTAAGTCAGGAAAAGGGAACCAATTGTATAGAGGTAAGTGGAAACTGGACTTTAGGTGGAGATCACAATGTAACATACCTAAAACGTGGAACTTTCATGCTGTACACTGAAATCCATATATAGTTGCACACCAATGTTACTTCAATCAAAAGCGTTTAATCATGAATAATGGCAATTTGGCATTTGAGAGCTTGCTTTTGCCACTGACTCGAGTATTTGTACACTGTGCTACAATCATCCACCAAGCCACACTGACCTCCCTTGATTACCGTCAGAAGTGATGTCATTTTCTTTCCCTCCATCTTTCCTCCCCAGGGAAGAAACCCCGGGGCCAAGGTCGTGAGCTGCATTTAACAGCTGATTTGCACTTAATACTCGGTCTTGGACTGGGCCCACTAATAACTTTTGTGAGACTGAAAATATCTTTGGAAAGACATTATCCTACAAAGAATTAAAAAAAACAAAAGTCTACATCTCCAAGCAGCATTCTCCTTGGACTCCCTTGGTAAAAAGAATTAAGAAGCAAATCACTGGTAAAGGAAATTTGCTGTCTCCTCTTCCTCCCCTGATCTGACATCTGACATTAAAAATACCATTGCTTCCCCAGTCTAAGTAATCATAAGATTGTTTATGCATTGGTCTAAAAAGCAAGTCTAAGCAAGAGTTTATACAGTAATGGTCTATATCAGTTACTCAATAATCAGCTTTCAAGGACCTGATCTCAGGGGAAATACTCAAGATATAGGCAAACTTTACTAAAAATGCTTCAATCTGGTTGAGCAATACAGCTAATAAATACAAATCCCAACAAACAATATAGAAAATCCTGTAACTATATGCCACACTGCCTGATTTAGACTAGTATTATAAATGTTTTGATTAAAGTCTGGTGAACACATTTTTGTATGCTAAAATAATTGCCATGCAAGAAAACGAGAGACGGCATGAACTCAAAATCACTTTGGCAATTGTGAAATTTAAAATTAAATAGTTTATGTCAATAGCTGACTTGGAAGTAAGGTTGCTCATAATAAGGACAATTACAGTGTTAGCTGCGCTTTCTGGAATATTTGGATGAAATATTGACTACGTTATTTAGGTCTGACCTTTATGAACAAAAGACATGTGTAAAAATAAATTCTCAGTCACCTACTGAAAAAACATAATTAAGGCCCAGAAATCACAGTGACAATTTCTATGGGGAAATGTCTGGGTTAATCCAGTCAATTCAGGCCATACACTTAGCTGACATTACATTTGCACTTTAAAATTCGGGTTTGGCCGGTGCTTCTAAAAATTTACATTTGACCCACTCTAACAGTATCCATAACATTACAATGTACTCTGTGTACTTGACAAAGAATGCAGTTCTTGTACTATATTTTGGATTGAATTTATTTTCACAAATATACAAAGCCAATTCCCCTACCAGGAAAGAACTACTTCTTTTTTATATACAACAGACCCTACACTGTTTTTTTTTTCCTTTTAATTCAAAATATCCAGTTGTTTGATGAATAGAGTTGACTAGACCACAGAACCAATTGATAATTTTTTAAAGAAGTGAGTTTCTCAGGCATGGTGTACTTGTACAGCATAATTTTTTTGCAGTGAGTAGATCAGTTATAAAATCACAGTGGGAAAGATATTCCTTTTCAATCTTCTCTCTACTGATTATAACAAAGATTATGTTCATTATGGAGCAAGAAGGTCATCACTGTTTCAAATATTAGCTAATAATATTAGCTAATTAGCTTTCTTTATAACAAAGAGAATAGACCTCCAGATAAGCAGATAACAGTATCTATTTAGAATTTAATAATGTCTTGCTTCGATTTGCATCTATTTCTGCAACTGTCCTCTATTTATGGCAAGCGATACCATCCTTGTTTCCCATTTGTAGCAATAATATAAACTCCCTTTAAACAAATTTAGGTTGAGAAAAGGAGTCAAAGTAAAGAAACATATATTAAGAAAACAATATTGCGTGTGGTTCTCAGATATGGCCGTATGGTAACCCACACGTGACCAACATTTAGAAAATAGAGTTAAAGTAATTAATGTTTAAAATGTTTATTTGTTCACTGATTCTTTGTTAATTGCTATTAATATCTTTACCCATACAATCAATGTAGGATTCGTAAAATTTCATTTCTGTCAGCAGGCCCTGCAGATGATTGCTTAACCTAAAGAGTATGTAGAAGTAAATTATTGACACAATCTTATTAGGATTAGAAACCAGAACAAGAGGATTTTTAGTTGTGTTAACCTGAAATGGTTCTGTGGTCATCTGATCTACAGGAGTTTAGCAATACACTAAGTGTCACTGTATATTATCATATCATAGCACAGCCTTGGGCATGCTAAGACAGTAGTCCTCACCCTTTTTTCTGCCATGGCACCTGGAAAAACATGTTACCACACTAGATAGCTCCTAGAAGCATGTCCAGATTATAACAAAATCCCCCCTTCCTTGACAACTTTTTCCAGAATATTCAGGTAATACAGGGTGGTAGCTGTTGGTTAGTCATCATTTCCAGCACGTTATGTTCCATGCAAGAAAGCTAAATCAACTGTCATGTAAATTAAAAATACACAAATCTGCTTATTTTTTAAAGTAAATCATACATATAATTTAGTGCTTTCCCTGTTCTATGTCACCAGAACCTAAGGGACAACTCACATCAGACTGGACTATTGGCCATGTCGCCTTCTCATTCTCTTAATCAGGCTAGAGACACAGAATCGACAAATGGAATGGAGTGAGTCTGCAAGTGAGGTGATCTAAGTGGATGGGGTTGGTACTAGTTGTAACTTGATAAGGCAACCAATAGTCTCAGTTTACCTGCAGTACTTAAAAAAATATATGACTTTTGCATATTATACAATGCAGAAAAACAAGTCTGCATTAAGATCAAGAATAACAAAGGTTATTTTTTACTCAAAAGAGGTAGTAACCTCTGAAAAGAAGTTACCCCAATTTTCATATATACATTAACGTGTTCTACAATTTTGGTAGAAATAAATTACTCTTTTATGGTTAAACTTTAGCATTCACTGACAACACTTAAAATGCTATCCTAAAACTAAACCCTAAAATGTTTCAAATTTAAAAAACAACATGAATCAGTGAAATTTTAAAAATTAAATTGTATAACAAATTGTAGGTCTAAGGAACATGTTACATATACACTGTGCTATAATGTAAATGATCTGTTTAAAGATACAGCAATCTCATCGATTTCACTGACATAAAGTCAGGTCTTAACCTGAACTAATTCAACACGCTCTTTAGAAAAAGGAATTCCTATTATGAATGGTAAAAGAACTGTGAATTTCTCTGCTGTTACAAAATCAATCAATAACAATCATTTTAGCTTCATGATGATGTTATGAACTTACCTTATGCCAAAACAGCAGGAGTGGATCATGGTCAACATGATAGCTTTGGACATCTTAATAATAAAACCATCTCTTTTTTTTTTTTTGCATTTATGCTGACGGTGTAAATGGCCTCAAACTGTCAATAACTCTTCCAAGGCAAATTTAGTAAATATAAAGACATGGACTAATATTACATTCAATAAATTCACATTACCTATGTTCACTCTAAGAGTTAACTCTATAAAAGAATGTGACTTAAGGAAGCCAAAGTGAAAACAGCATGAAGCAGTAATTTCAAATGAGCCAAAGCAGTAAAATAGGAGGTTACACCCAAGAGTCGTGTACTTATATGGTAAAAGCACAATCACTAAGCTTTTTTTCCTGAGTTGTCCAGATTTAGTTGATAATTTTACTGTCAGTATTGTCATCTGGTTCCCATTAAAAGACATTATAAAACACTAGCACATTATATTTTCCCCAAAACTACTAAATAATTTTTTATGTTTTAAGAATCCACATTTTTTAATTGTTAGGAAAACTATGTGATATAATATTATTTAAATAAACAAAAGAAGCAACTAAAAAGAACTATCAGTGTCAAAGGATCTAGAAAATACAATCACTCTCATATCACATAGGTGTGAAGCCTACAGAAACACGTAAAATATAGTTAGTACTTTTTGTTAGTAGGTATGCACTTCAAGCACCAATAACTCAACCGGTTAACATTCCCACCAAAGCGGAAATGCAAAGTTTAGCGAAACAGCCTATCATATTTTAATCAAATGAGTGAACACAGAAAGCACGTTGAGTGTCTTAAATTGCCAAACTAAGAATGGTGGAGACACACACACAAAAGTTTCCCTGCATTTTGTGTTAAAATTACCTCCCAAGCATCATTCAGACATTTCAGGCCCAACTCTAATTCTGTGTTCGCCCACCGTGTGCTTGGCACCAACTGGCACTAGTAAGTACTACCATGATCTTTGAGATCGCGGAGGATCACAGCAGGAAGGCTGTGGGACCGCCACCCCGGCACTAACTCGGCCTCTACCTCCTTAACGTGGACCCTGAGTTTGAGGGGTGGCGCTTTCAGAAGCAGGTCAAGAGGCAGCAAAGCTGAAGAAATAAAAGGGGGAAAGATATGAAGCTGTAACACAAATTGCACTTGATGTCAGGGAGGCACGTGTGGTTTTATGGCAACCCACACTGAATTACCTGGTCGTGGTCTTGAGCCTATTCCACCAGTGAAGTCTCTGAAAACAGAAGGAGAGGCCATTAGGAGAACGTGTTTAAACTTGGACTTGACGAACATTTACTGAAGGCCTACCCTCCAGCACAGCTTTCAGTAGAAAAATAAATAAAGGTTATTTTCCCCCCAAGAAGCTCTCAAGAGTTCAATAAAAAGGGGGAAAAACATATCGGAACCCAGAACAGAGCAGACATTCCACTGGCAAATGAAAGCAGCTCGTCCCAGCAGAGTTGTTTATATGCTCTCAGAGCGATTAGGAGCCTAAATCTTGGTGCCTTGAATGATTTTCTTGTTACACTTAAAACCAAACCACTGATTTTGTATTAAAAAGAAATAATATTTCAAACTTTACATGCAGTATTTTCCAGGCTTTGTTCCTACTTTCTTTTACAAATAAAGGAAATTACAACTCTTCTACGAAATGAGATGATTTTTGCCTTTAAGAGTATTATATTTTCCTAAAGTTTCCAATGTTAACATCACTTGTTTGTCCTGCCCTAAGATTCTAGATTTTGTCAGCATTTTTCAAGTTGCCCTCTGTGCCCTCACTGCCCCAGGGACTGTCTTAAAGAACCTTCAACCTTTCTTTCTCTCTGTAATTTAAATTCAATTTCCTAATGTTATTTTGAATGAAACAATTGTGGTAAACTTCATGTAGTATTTATAGAGGTTTATTTATGACACACACCTGAAGTTTATAAGAAAAATTATAAGAAAAAATAAACTGTGGATAAGGCACATGATCGTTATTTGCTCAGTAGGAATCAATATAGAGATTTAAATACCACTAAACATGGCAGATAATTCCCTTATCCCACCCTCTTATTTCAATCACAGAATTTTTGATAACACACAGCAGCACATAGCCAGGTTATGAAGAATAACTAAACTGGCTCTCATTTATCCACTACCCAACTTAAGTGCCAGAATAAAACCAAATCTTTTCATCCAACTGTGATCCCTTCTGTAGCTTCTTCCTCAATTCCTAAGTCCCACCAAGTCAGCTCTCTTCATTTCACAGACGAGTTATGATTTCCTTTATTTGCAAAAGAGAGTAGGAACAAAGCAAAAAATATACTAGCCTGAGTTTCCAAAAGTCTTGAAAATTAAGACACTTGCAATTTTCCATAGTTAATACACACTCTCTAAACCTGACATAACAGGTGTGTTTACAAAACAAATAAGATGGTTCCTCCTCTCAACAAGTTCCAAGAGGGTGCCCATAGGGACTCTGCAGCACCTCATATCTTAGTGCACACTAAAAGCAGGTGCTTTCTGAAAAACCTTCCAGGCAAGTCCAGTACTAGCCAATAGAAATATAATGCAGACCACAAGCAGATGCTTAAATTTTGGGGTAGTTACATTAAAAAAGTAGAAAAGGGGTGAAATTAATTTTAATAATGTTTTATTTAACTGACATTTATCCAAAATACTATCATTTCTAAATATATACTAATGTAAAAATTAATGAGATGGTTTACAATTCAGTTTATATTTAAATAAAACAATGAAATTAAAAATGCAGTTCCTCTGTCCAACTAGCTACTCAAGAATCTAACATGTGGCCAGGGCCTCTGTATTCCATAGCAGGCCCTTCCCCTTCTTTAGAGGGTGCTGCCCCCTGTCTTCATAGACAAGACTGAGGTCAACAGTCGCCCACGTTGCTGCTGAATCTGCAACAACTTAGGGACCCCACTGTTTTAAATTTAACTTCTGGAAATCTTTTATTCATGAGTGCGTGGAGGCTCTTGACAGCTGGTAACCACTCATGGGTTGAATGAACTAGATTTCTATTACAGTTGTCCTGAAAAATCCAAAATTTCAAACATTTTTACATATAAAAAAACATGCTAGTGGTAGATGTGAAAGGGACTGTCCTGGAGATATGGAGTTACTGCTAACTTTGCTACTCCTTAAAAATAATTAAAACTCCTCTTTAATAAACTTTCAGAAATCTTTAAAAAATAGCCATCACACATTCATTCATTCATTCACTAAATATTTATCAAGTGCCTGCCATGTGTAGGCACTGTACACACAGTGGACATGAGATGGTGAAGAGAAACAGACCCACAAGTCTTGAAACATACAAGATTGCATGGGTATAGCAGAGAAACTGTTAATTCCTCTGAAAAATGTATCATGACTCTAAGGAAACATGTTCCTCTGAAATTGCAAAATAGAACAGACTCATTGTAACTAGAAATGGCAACTTTGGACTAGCCAATTTTTGGATCCACAGGTGGACAAAGATTTTTAATTAGGCAGAGCCTTGGGGAAGTCTGTTTCTAATTGAACCAGATTGAACATTTATATCCAATAGAACATGATGGCTATAGAGGATGGTTTGTTATGACAGAGCAGGCTGGAAAATAGACAGAAATGGCATGACACAAAGAGAACATTTCAGAAATGTTTTCTGATTAAGAAAAAGTCTTAACATAATGAAGCTGTGTCCTCTGATAGTTTTGAAAAGAGCACTGACCAATAGCACTTCAGATTGATAAAACAGAATTTCAGCAAAATGGAAGATTTTAAAGCACTCTGAGAGGTCTTTAGACCTCTTTAGCCAAAACAGAAACTAAAGTGCAGAATATGGGGCCTCCCCTGATGGCGGTTGAGCACCATACTGTGAAGCTGTCCGCAGCCTCTGCAGAGCCAGTTCGATCCCTGGCTGCTGGAGAGGGTCCGACATGGCGCGGCAGACCTCTCTTGTCGTGCCCGCTGCTCCTCTCAGCAGCGTATTTCATCAGTCTGCCTGTTCTGTTCCCTGCTCTGTCTCTGGTGAATCCTCTCACCCTCCCACACATCTGGCCTATACCCCAGTTCTTGTATAAAAATAAATAAAGAAATCTTTAAAAAAAATAAAGTGCAGAATATGACTGTCAGCTACAACTTCCACCCCAAATCACTAACAGGTAGAGATTGGCAGTATTAACTTTTCAACTTTTCATAGAATTAATTCAAGTGTCGGGCACATTATTTTCTTCTGCAAGGTTCTGACAGGTCCTGAGATTACAAAAGGAGCCCTATGCTCATATGTGTGGTGCTGGATGGTCACAAACATCCCCAATCATCTTTATAAACAGACTAGAGCCAGGCACACAACCTTCAATACAATTATGCATACATGAATCTATGAAAGGAATTGTGAACCACAGGTATCGCTAATACCGCAAACACCCAATGTTTCAAACCAGCCTGCCAACCCTACCCTGTTACCTTAGCAACAGGATGCAAGCAGGCATGGATAAATCTTGTTGCCTCAGCAACAAGATCTTAAAAAAATAAAATAGGTCTTATGTTATGTCTATTGCAAAGGCTGTAGGATAAAGTCAGAAGGTGAGATTTCGGTCTTATTGCAATGAGAGATATGGAATCTGTGCTAAGATAACAGTCATTCATCTAGATGAACAAGTATTTGTGGACTGGTATCTACATGGAATACACTGTGCCCTGGGTAATGACAGGATGGACCAAGTCTTGTATCTGCCAGCACATATGAGTAATATTAACTGAATGAATGAACAAAATGATATTTCAAAGGTTTTAATACAATGCCCAAAGCTTCCCTGAGTGAATATGATAGAGTTAGAAACCCCTGTGTGAATGATCAAATTCTACTATAAACAGGATGATTTATTTGAAGTTGAAATAAAATGTTATGACTCAATGAATTAGATCCATCTATCTGTCTGTCCATCTGTCTATCTATCAACCTATCTATCTATCTATCAAATTACATGAGACTATAAAAACCAGACAGAAACTGGTAAGAGTCAAGCCCATTCTTAATTTTTTTCCTAGCAAGTAGTAATAGAGACAGAGATTTTAGATCACTTAGGTCACTAAAATGATTAAAGTAGGAAATTTCAAAGAAACTACTAATTATTGAATTATAATTACTTTTTTCTTGACATAGATATTAACCCAGTTTTTGGCTAACTCTGCTAATGTGCAAAAAACATCATCAAACATTAACAATAGGATATTTATTTCATATGAGTATTTCAAAGTAGGGAATATTTTATGAGAGTTTGATAATGAAGAGGAAATTCTATTTTCTCTCTTATTCCTTATCATTAAGAGATGTACACACAAAAATAAAAGATGATTTCCACAAAGACCATCATTCACCTTAATCCCCCTCAATATACACGTGGAGTTTAAATCTCTCAAACTGGGATTGTGAAAATGGTACAACCACTCTGGAAAACAGTTGGGCAGTATCTTAGTTAAGTATACAACTACTGTATGATCCAGCCATTTCACTTCTAGCATTTACCCAAGAGAAAAAAAAAAAAAACATGTGTCTGGGCCTCCCTGTGGCACAGGGAGTTGAGAGTAGTGCTGTGAAGCTGTCTGCAGCCTTTGCAGCACTGGTTTGATTCCCGGCCAGCCAGGGAGATTCCCACTTGGCGCAGCAGACTTCTCCTGTCACGCCCACTGCTCCCCTCAGCAGTGTATTTTGGTCGTCTGCCTATTCTGCTCCCCACACTGTCTCTCGTGAATCCTCTCACCCTCCCGTGCCTCTGGCCTGTACCCCAGGCTCTTGTATAAAAATGAAAATTTTTTTTAAAAAAGTGTCTTTACAAAGACACAAATGTTTATCACACTTGCATTTGTAATAGCCAAATACTAGAATTCAAAGGTCCACTAACAGATGAATGGATAAACAAATTGATATATATTCAGACAGTGGAATACTATCTAACAATAAAAAAATTGAACTATAGCTATATAAAACAATATACATGGATCTTGAAATAATTATGCTCACTAAAAGAAGCCAGACAAGTAGTATATGTGATATATGATATGATTTACACAAAATTATAAAATGCAGACAAATTTATAGCACAAGTAGATTAATGATTGCCTGGGATAGGAGTGAGGAACACACGTGGGCACAGGACATATTTAGATGGTTATGTTCACTATTTTAGTTGTGATTTCACAAGGATATCTCTATTCACAACATATCAAACTATGCACTTGAAATATTTACAGTTTATTTTATGTGAATTATATCTTATTGAAACTGTTGAAACAAAATATCTTCTCATGTTCTCATTCAAGAGTTATTTATGTAGACCATCACATGGTCTGTGTGCGTTCATTAAAGGCAGTATATAAAAAATGCCCATTAAGCTAATTTCTGTCTGCCTTTTTTTACTTAATAGGTAGAACTTAAGTATAAGTCAGATCCCACAGTAACTCTAGGTCTAAGACATAGACATAAATCTATTTCTTCAGGAGAACTAGCTAGTTATCTCTCAACAGAGTATGAGTGATCACAGTTAAAGGAGTCACTTGTGAACATTTAGATTAATAAACATCTACAGCATAATTCCTAGTGATACTTTTTTTTAAAACATGTAGTTTTTTTTTTTTTTAAAGATTTATTTATTTTTATACAAGAACTGGGATACAAGTCAGAGGCGTGGGAGGGTGAGCAGATTCAGCAGAGACAGAGCCGGGAGCAGAACAGGCAGACCGACTGAAATACACTGCTGAGGGGAGCAGTGGGTGTGACAAGAGAGGTCTGCTGCGCCATGTGGGAATCTCCCTAGCCGGCCGGGAATCAAACCCACACTGCAGAGGCTGCGGACAGCTTCACAGAGCTCTGCTCAACCTGCTGTGCCACCAGGGAGGCCCCCTTAGTGAGACTTTTTTATAGATTTTCCACTTAAATGCGAAGGACAAAGATATAAATCAAGTGTATTCTGGCAAACCAAGGGCCTAATAAGAAGCAAATTATGCTAAGTGAATATGTCTGCAGTGAGAATGATCTGCTCAGTGTTAGGAAATGTGGATGAAATGGAAGTTCCCTATTGTGTTCTTCTGGGATGTGGGAATTCCGGTGACGTGGCATCCAGCTGGGGGAGATTTGTTGTCTAGAGATTCCCCTCTGCTATGTGAATGACTGCCCTTTCCAGAAGCTGAGGAAGGGAGCTCTGTCTCTCCACTTACCTGGTATGTCAGCTTCGAGTTTAGAGTCCAGGAGTTTTGGTGATTTGGGGGTGCTGGACTGGGAATGGGGAAGAACTTGGCCAGACTTGGATCTCTAAGAGTTGGGGACTAGCTCTTTTTTGATCTTATTATTAATTATATTCCTAAAAAAAGTTTCATCTTATGATGGCTGGTAGGTACTTTCTAGAACAAATTTCATGTTTCCTTTTACCAGCCTTGAGACTTTACTACTTCTGCGAAGTCAGGAGCTGCCCTCCTGAGTTTTGCTTGCTCATGTTTTACCCATTGGGCTGGAACATTTGTCCAAGAAAGTCTATTTCAAATTAATGAGGAGGTACTCTGACTCCTCAGCAGGCAATACGCTTAAATCTAGTATCTAATATCTGAGCTGACCAAAGTTGAGAATTTATGGTTAAATTTTCTCTGTGCACTATTTAGCAGGGGGCAAGTCTGGATTCTAAACTCTGGAAGCCTTGCTCAGATCAAGCATGTATTTTCCCTGTGGCGTTTTCTCATTGGGACCAACTCCCTTGTTTTGTTGTTATTGTTATTGTTGCTTTCTTAACAAAGAAGAGCTAATTAGTGTCACCAAGGGGAGAGTTGTTCAGGATCTCATTGTAACTGTTCTTACCATTTAATATTACCATTTAATATATGGCATAGAATAGCTAAAAATCTCTACATACTTCATTTTCAATTTCATTTCTATCACCTGCTGGCTGGGTGACTGGGATGAGGTGCACATTTGCCACTAATACCCCAGGGATTTGGACAAACAAGATGCAGGGAGCCAGGAGTCCATGTGACCTCATCCAGCACCACTGCCCTTCCCTGCATGGGCCCTCAAGTCCAGAGAAGCTAACTAATGGGAGATTGAAAAGCTAGGGGGAAAAAAGATAGAATAAAACCCAAGTAGAGCTTAGCACTCTTTCTAGTGTGCTTAGTAAACTATATAATCAGTTCAGAGAAAGTGTACTCCAACAGCCTCTGTTACCACATGCCCATGATAACTTCTGGCTATCATTTTTCAATCTGGCTGCCCATAACTCAGTTTGTAGAGTCTAAAGATCTTTCCAGAAGCTTAACGTGTACATACCTTGTTTGGGATTGTCGTTCTCCTCCCGAAGCACTAAAACTTCTCTTTAAAATGCCTGAAACAAGAATATAAAAATAACTGCACTCTTCTACTTCAAATCTTAAATTTATTTGTTTAAAAAAATCACTGCATTCAATTATCTGAATTATTACCGGTGTATGTACTACAAAGGCTGTCTTCACTTCTGAAAACATCAGTTAAAATGTAATGGTGCAAATTAGTAGTTCCTTGACAGGTTTGTTTAAGGGTCTTTTTCCAAAGAAAGGGTGCTAAACAAAGAAACTCCATTATTAATAGTTAACAACATACAATAAAATATCTACAGCATACGCATCCTAAGGCCTTTGCCAAGATAGCTACAAGCCACTACGTGCCAACTCAAGGTCCAACTTTCCTTCTTTGCTTTCCCACGGGCCCTCCCCACCATTGTTAGCCGGAATATATAACACTGAGTTCATTTCAAAACAACCATAAACTGCTACTAGAATTTGCTGTGTATGTTTATGTGCATGGCTATTTTTCCTGTGTAATGTTCATGCTTTCCCAGTCACAAAGAAGAGCTTTTTACCTAGCAACAGGAATTTACCAGAAAAACAGAGTAGAGTGTTGGAAATTGGGATTGTCCCAGAAAATCTGGAGCAGTTGGTCACCATGTTGATGGCACAAATAAGTATGGAAAGGAACCAAGAATGCAGTTAAATCCTTAGGGTTCTATTGTGATCCTTGGAGAGATGATTTTAAACCTTCCTTTATGAGATTTTGATAAAATAGTCATTGGTGAGAAGGAATTATTTACAGTTAATTTATGTCAGAGTTTTTCTGTCTCTTCTATTCAATATTCCATTAACTTACTCTTTCAAAAGAATTACTCTTTTCTCACCATTTCCTATTTTAAGTTCTCTTTCAGTTTCAGATTCATTAGTGAATTGAATCCTATCTTTATAATCTTTAAATTTTATCTATATATTTTTTTCTTTTCTTTCTCACACTTCAGTGTAATTATTTTCAATACTGTTTCTAATATAGAGTCAAGATACACATGTGGACTAAATTTATACATCTTTGTACATCATACCGTTTCACAGTTAAAAACAATGAACATATTTATTTTACTTTAGTGCTTTAAATACAGGACATCCCTTTACATGAATGTAAATGCAAGTGTTCATAACTTAGTCTACACTGATCCTCATTTCTCCTGCAAGTTCTAATCCCTAGTCAACAGAAGTGTACTGGTCACTTCCTTTTTGAGCTATTGAGTCTGTGTCCATTTCCCAGTTAGAACCTGCCTTGCTGGTAGAAATAATGAAACTTCATTTGACAGCTGAGGCAAGGGACAAAAGCAGTGCTTGCTGGTTGGCCTTTGGGCTCTCAGAGTGAGGGACACACCCATCTCCACAAACTTTGTCCCTGGAAAACCAACCATGGGCTATGCCCAGGATGACTTTTTCTTGACTGGAGTATGAGTTCCAAACCACACCCTGCTGAACCCCACAAACAGGGAAAGAAAGCTTACTGAAAGTTGACTCTTTCAGAGGGCTTGAACTGGAGCTGCTGCAGTTATCTGAAATGTCCAATTCGTCATCCAGCTCTGAATATATATCTGGGCAATCACAAAAAAAGTAAAAGTAAAAAGCAGGTGAACCTTGGAACAGAAAGGAGTCAGAAGTGCACTCATGCTGACTCATGAGTGCTCATGCCCCCAGGAGTACCTTTCTCAATGTTTTCCAGGTTGAAGTTATCATCCGACAGGATTTCCTCACAGGCCCTGTCTTCGTCCTTACCACAGGGGGCCTGGAAGCCTTCCGGAGGCAGCTCTGCACTTTCTGAGAGTTCGCTCTTCAAGCTGGCAGCGCCACTGCTGCTACTACTCAAGCTTGCCTTCTCAAAGGTCTCCTGGAAGGAGAAATTCCACTTTTAGTAACCTCTCCTTCCTCCCCTCCTTCTGCAGGATCCAAAGCTTGTTAGAACATACATCCTAAAGTTTGAATTATCATTAAAAATAGTTTGTGCTGAAATAACACCAGCAGTTCCACCTATACATCTGCTATCAAATTCATTCAGCTCTTAACTACCAAAAAAAAAAAAAAATGAATCAAGGAGATCTGTAAGCTACTATTGGACAACAAATGAATGAATGTGGCAAGATAATCAGTACAAAGACCCAAACAAAGTTATCATGGGCATGGGGTAACTAAGTCATCTGGCCAAAGAACCCGTGGCATAAGGAATAGCTCTGCATCCATTAAACTAAGATGCCTCTTCCTTAAGCTATTTTTAAAACATTGGCTGTCAATCTTCTCAGTCTCACTGTGATAAATAAGGCTTAGTTCATTCAAATCTCATGGGCAATCAGTAGCACTCTGCCAGGCCACAGAAAAAGGGAAGTGGAGTCCCCCTGAAAAGTGAAGAGCAGCAGAAAAAGGGACATTCAAACCACATGGGAGCCCACACCTCTGCTCTTCCTCATCAGTCTCTTAAGCCAAGAGGTTCATATCTCCCGCTCCTTTCCTTGCTAATTGAAATGTGTTCTTCTATTCTCGTAAGATGAGTTCCCCCCACTAAGTTCATATTGTGGTTATCTGCATTTGGCTTGAGTTGGAAGATAGCATCTTGAAGAACCAAACCAAATCTAACAAATAGCCAAGACATTTTGTGCACAGCAAACTGTCCAACCAATTTTTGCTTATTATCTCTTTTCCTGAGAATTTATTCAATGTTCCTTCCTCAAAGTTTCACAAAGATGCTGGAGCTCTTTCTTGCTCTGTTGGTGCTAACATTCAGTTGAAGGAAAGTTTTCATTTTCTTTGGTTAGTCCTCTAGCCAATGCTCAAAATCTTCCTGCTCATGGCTCAGAACTGTTCATTCCTGTTTCTTGGGCTCACCCTGGTCTATTAACTTAGAACTGGTGGTGGGAAATATTTTGGATACTCTCTGGCAGCGCAAATTTATGCTTCTCATAAATTTGAGACCTGAGACAAGCAGAGGGTCTCCAATACCAGCCTCAGTTTTGCTCATGTGCCTCACATCAAACCTATGAGCTCCATTTAAGACTCAAAACTTGACTGTAAAATCCCAACCTCTCCCATACCCTCTTTCCTTTCTGCTCTAATGTACAGATCAGTTTTCTCACAACTATCCTCAAATGAAGTCATTACAAATTTTCATAGATATAAACATTCAGTTTAGGGTTTTCTCCTCTTTATAACTTTTCTTATTCTAAATAAATCACTCCTTGGCCTATTTTAAAGACCATAATTGCCATTGATAACCCCGTAGGGCCTACACACACAAAATGTGTCAATGCTATAGAGGTTGGAAAAAAATGAGAGAACTTTTAAGTGAAAATTTTTTATCCTGTTGATACATTAGTTGCCAGATTCATCTAGCTCTAAAACTAGCAAAACTTCAGTAACGCTTATGTTTCTCTTGAAAACAGGTGTGGCTATGAAATCAGCAGAAGACCTTTTTCTTTAAATGAATGAAGAGTACGAAGAAGCTGTGAGTCCCAATGTAGGCGAGTCTGGACTTGAGGGGGTTTGACTTGCAACCAATACCCAAGAACTAGTGGGTTGCAAACCAACAGTCCCTTGCACCTGCCCAAATTGCTCCACAGGAAATTGGGTATTTGCTTAAATTCTGCCAAAGGGGGGACTCACATATTGAGAGATGCTTTTTCAGACTCTATAAGCAGGGAAGTAATGAGGAATGTGTAGTTTGTTTTGGTTTTAAAACCTCTGTTTCATAATCTATTATAGAAGATTTGGCTTCAAAAAATCTATATGCTTCTTGAACTTGTCATAAACCATATGCCACTATAGACACATTTTCCCTGGTGTGATTTCCAGTTTTTTCCTTGTGGAATATTTGAATAGCCAACCCATTAGCCATCTCACACTTTGAAAAACTGGGGCCTATTTTAGTCCCTTTTAACTCCCTTGGTCCCTTGTACATAGCAAATGCTCACATGATGAGTTCAAAGGGAGAGAAAGAAGGATCAGAAGAGCACGCAAAAACCCTTGCCAGAGGAGTAGGCTTTTAATGCCTGTGTTTCTTATCTTGGGCCCTTGTCCAGAGCCTACATTGTGATGTTTCTGTAAAAACTGAAGGGACTCTATGGTGATACAACTATGAGTTGGAGTGAATATTTCTCCCTTCTCTGCCTTAGAAATGACTAGTCCACCAATGACAGATGCCTGGAGGCTTGGCCAGAGGCAAAAGATGGCTGAGGTCTGAGAATTGAGGCCAGGAAGATGTTTTTAAAAGTTACTTTCAGTAAGTACATAAACCTATTAAAAAGATTTGAGAGAGTGTGTGTCTGTGCATGCACGCACATTGGGGAGCACGGGTGGGGGGGCGGTGGGCATTGGGAGGTAAGTATAGCCTTGAGGGACAGAATTTGGCTGCTGTTAACTTTTTTACTTTCCAAATGGAAATTAATTACCCAGGATTTTTCTAGGAGTAGGAAAGAAAGTGAATAAGATTTTCTTGGCCTCTGTTTCGCCTAGGAACGGATGGACACATTCTATGTATCAATATGGAAGCAAGGAGAAGACAATGCAAATCACACAATAAAATTATCACTGCTATGGAACACATCACCACAACAGGAGACACTTCCTGACACAGAGCTGCCATAGGCACAATTATGTTTAGTTCCATTTTGCTCATTATAAAGTAATTTTTTTAACATGTGCAGCAGTTCACAATGCATTTCTAATAGAATAGTAATTCAGCAGTAACCCACTGACATGCCCCATATTCACCACGACAGTAAGGAAGGCATTAAAAGAGCCTACTTTATTAAAACTAGTGTAGTTTTTTTTAATTGTCCAGAATATTTGTTTTATAAGGGGAGAAAGAAAAGTAAGAAATAAATATAAAGTACTTCACCAACTATATCCTGCAGATGCTTTATTTTGGAGCCATAAAAGATGTACTAGCCTTTTGTGTTCAGAAATTTTATAGTCTGTTTGAGCTATCTTTCTACCCAAGTTTCTTCCATTTGTTTAGTTAATAACCGTGACCTTAAATAATACATAAATTTAAGGTGTGACAGAAATTCATCTGGCTGAGGTGATCTCTTTTCAGTGACAAACCATGTTCTAGACTTTTCAAAGATGATAGCACAAAGAAAATTCAAAATAGGAGACAGATCATTGACCATATATTATAGCACATAAACTTAGTCCCCAACATTTCAGTTAAAAAAAAAATCAGCCAGTCTAGTCAGATGGTGGAGACAGTCAGGGTGACCCACCCCATAGTTGAATGGACTGCCCCTTTTAGTGCCTAAGTGAGAGCTTCCCTTTTCAGGATCTCACTCTAGGATGCTTGGCTTTGCCACCAGGGAGGCAGGCTGCTGGAGCCTGGTCCTTCCCTTCAATAAATGGAAACATTTAGTTCCAAAGTTGTTCGGATGATATCGTTGCCTCATTTCATGTACGAAGTCCTGAATCATTTCCCTCATCCATGCTCTCCATATCAAGTTGAAGAACAATATATTCAAATTTAATCAGAAAAACTAGTGCCTAGAGTCTGGAAAATAGCTAAATTTATAAATATTATATGTAAAAAAGAAAATGTCCTCTACAAGTCTGAAGGTTGTTGTTTTATTTTGTCTTCTTGAAACTATTCACACAAAATTAAACATTTTGCTTGATCAGATTAAATGCATATAACTATGATCCAACCCTTATCACGACACTGTCTTAATTTTCAATATAAATTTTCAGCATCAAATTTATCATGCTTGAGGATGTTTCACTGCCACCCATATTTAACCTAATGTCCACAAGGAGTTTTCTGTTTTTCCTAATTCAGGCTTTCTGGAACTAATAATACTAATACAGGTGAGAAGAACTATGCCAAAACCTAAAAGTCTCACTTGTTAAGTGTACATGAGATATGGACTACAGCCACATTTGTTGACCACCATTTTGTTGCAAAGCTGCAGACTAATGAACAAAAAGAACTGACTATTTATGTTAATATTTCCAAAGACATTTCAAATGAGGCCAGAATCAGGTGATTCCATGTAAGATATATGTATATATATTATGTATCTTATATATGTATATATATGTATCTTATATATGTGTATATATGTATCTTACATGGAATTATATATTCAATATGTATATTATATAATATATATGTGTATCTTACATGAATTATATATATTATATATAATACACAGAGATTCATCAAGTTTTAAATTTAAGATATTCTAATTTGGATAATGGAAATCCAGCAATGCTGAAGGCATTAAACCACATGACATTAGACACAGGTGGTATCAATACAGATGAAACATACACATTAGAATCCTACTTACTTTTTCATTTTCAACCCAGAATTATAGAAAGAAAGACCTACTTCTTGATCCCTCCTTGAACTTGGCAGACAGATTCCAATCTCAAGATCTTTGGATTTGCTGGTCCCTCTGCCATCAATGTTGTGTCTCCAGATATGTGCATGCTTTACCTTTTAAATGCATTTAAGTTTCTGCTCAAATCTCATACAAATAGAGAGGCTTTACCGACACCCCTAGTGGAAATACCCTATTTCCCTATATCCACTGCTTTCTATTCCTATTGCTTTCTATTCCCATGCCTACTAATATTTTGTCTACAGCACTTAAACATTTTTTATTTATCTGTCATTTATCTTGCCCCACTAAGACAGTGGGGGCCTTTGACTGTTACATTAATTGCTGTATCACCAGACTAGAACAGTACCCAGGAGGGAGTAGATATTCAGCAAATTTTGTTGAATATGTAAAATAAAATATTAATTTTTCAAAATGTTACAAAGTTCTTCCCCATGTTGAAACAAAACATTTTAGAACTAATGCTGGAAAAATTGGATATTCACATGGAAAAAAATGAAATTCA